AGGGGGACGATGAAGTCAGAAAGACCGAGTAAGGGAAGCCGGTGGAGGAAACCGTGGCTGCCGTGTCTTCTTTCAAAACTGCACGCGTAAGAGAGTCTCCTTGGGTGTCATCCAGGGGCACGGGGCCACTGCTGGGAAAAGGGAAATGTCCTCCCGTTGCGGAAGTGGAGAGGCTGTCTTCCCAAAGAGTAGTTTGTGTGACCTCACTCTGGAGCGGGAAGGAGGTGGCTGTGGAGCTCACAACAGAAGTATTGCGCAAATCGACAACGGTGTTCCTGTCCCGAACGCCATCCAGTTCGTCTTCAACGTTCTGCCCACTGGTGGGAAGCGTCGTGAATCCACTCGCTGTTTTTAGGGGAGGGAGAAATCTGGGCTGTGATCCTGCAGGGTCCTTCTCGTGGTCGACCGTTTCCGCTCCAACGTCTGGCTTCGCGTCCGTTCTCCTGCTGTCCTTTTCCTCAACCACGTCGTAAGACAGATCTTCGTGGAAGTTGATAAAATTATAATCGTAGTAAAAATCATCTACAAACACGTTTCCCTTTTTGTTGCCGTTTGAGGAAAAATCGTCCTCCGTTATGACGTTGAAGTCTTCCGCGTTGGGCCCCAGAGGGATATATTTTGGGAGACGCTCCTTTGGAAGGAAGTGGATGTCGTTAAAGAGTTCCCGGCTGGAGGAGCCGCTGCCGGACCAGTCGAGGAGGGCGCTTTCGGCCTTCTTCTGGCATGGCTGCAAGGAACAGGCAGTTCTAGACAACGGCCTCTGCGCCAGATCACAGCTCACTCTGGAATCACCGGGGCAATAAACTGGGCGCCACTGCGTTCCGTTCCCACAGGTCGCTGAGCACTGAGAAAAACAAAAGTAAACAACAAGGGCATGAGATGCTGGGAGCCCCTATGTCACCGACAGGCTGGCTGGGGAACGGAGAAAAGAAAAGTCAGGGAACCCTACAGAGTGAGAGGCAGGGCCTGCTTTTCCCGGCAAACCCTCCAGCCCTCGGCCTAACCCCGCCCTTAAATCTCTGACTGTTCCGTTCCCAAAGGATGCCTGGCCCATACATGAAACCTAGAGATAACCCCGAGTTCTTCTCTCAGTTGCCGTTTCTATCGATTAATGGCCTTTGTCTGAGCAAAACAGTAAAAAGCCAAGCAGCCCCTTTAAGACTGACGAACTTTATTGTAGCATAAGCTTTTGTGAAACACAGCTCACTTCGTCAGCATCTGACGAAGAGAGCTGTGTTTCTCAAAAGCTTATGCTACAATAAAGTTCGTTAGTCTTAAAGGTGCCACTGGGATTTTTAGTATTTTGCACCTCTGGGCCGTCGTCTGAGCAGGAGCAGAAGAAGTCAGGCTCTGCTAGCTGAAGCATGAAGCAGTTTTTGTCAAGGGAAAGCAGACCATGGATTCCTCGACCTTCACCCAGTGTCGAAATGACCCATGTGACAAAAACAGTCCCATTCCACAAGACGATGCAGATCCCTGTCTGCCAGGCTGATGGCTGATTGCGTCTGACTGGGACGCCCAGGGATCACGCCCAGACTTTTGCCCAAGGACCAAGAGACGCAGGATTCTCCTTCCTCTCCCCGGGATTATTCCAGATTTGCCTCCTTCTCATTTTGATTTGGGAGCTCCCAATCTCAGCTCGCCTATGAGCCGGCTGGAGACCAGCAGAGGACTCTGCCCGGTTCCCGCGGGTCTTGACCCGGACCTCCCCAAGGCACCGAGACTCACGCCACCCGCGGCCCTCCAAGCTCCCTCACCTCAGACCAGTTGCCCACGATCCACCACGCCGGGCAGGAGACCTCTCGGTTGCAGGGGGCCGTGGCGTCGGGCTTGGAGAGGTGCCGGCATGCGCTGGGCTGCAGAGCCCGCTGCTCGTCCGGGGCCACGCTCTGAAGGCAGAGGACGCTCCTCCTCGTCAGCCCGGCATCACCACACGTGGCCGAGCACGCCTGCCATTCTCCGACCCACCACCTGAAGGCAGCAAGGGATCAGAGGCAGAGCAGTTAGCGGACCTTCGCGCGAGGAGGGGGTGGGGGATTCCCGAGTGACCGAGCCGTGGTCATTCAGCCTCGTCCTGGAAGGCTCACTCTCTTTGTACCTTGGAACCTAAGCAGGGTCTCCCCTGGTGAGTCTCTGGATGGGCGACCGCCAAGATGCAGAGGCCGGCCATGGATGACCACCGCTGTCCGCCTCTCGCCCTGAAAACCCTGGAGGGGTTGCCTGGAGTGGGCTGGAACTGGACAGTTCTTGCCCTGACCTGGATGGCCCAGACTACCTCAATCTCATCAGCTCTCGGAGCCGAAGCAGCATCAGCCCTAGTTAGTCCTTGGGCGGGAGACCACCCAGGAAGAAGAAGAAGAGATTGGGTTTATACCCCTTGCCCTTCACTACCCAAAGGTGTCTCAGAGCGGCTTACGAACTCCTTTCCTTTCCCCTCCCCACAACAGACACCCTGTGAGGCAGGTGGGGCTGAGAGAGCTCTGGCAGAAACTGCTTTTTTCAAGAACAGTTATCATCGGAACTGTGGCTTGCCCAAGGTCATCCAGCCAGGTGCGAGTGGAGGAGGAGTGGGGAATCAAACCCGGTTCTCCCAGATCAGAGTCCGCGCACTCAACCATGACACCAAACTGGCTCTGAGAAAAGATTGGATTTATACTCCATGGCCCTTCACTACCCGAAGGTGTCTCAGAGTGGCTGACAATCTCCTTTTCCTCCCCCTTCCCACAACAACAGACACCCTGTGAGGTAGGTGGGGCTGAGAGAGCTCTGAGAGAAACTGCTCTTTTTCCAAGAACAGCTCTGAGAGAACTTGTGACTGACCCAAGGTCACCCAGCTGGCTGCAAGTGGAGGAGTGGGGAATCAAACCCAGCTCTCCCAGACTAGAGTCCTCTGCGCACTGAACCACTGCACCGAACTGGCCAGGGTCGCTCTGCAGAGGCAGGCAAGAGCAGAACCACCTCCGTTCACGTGCCCTGGCCTGCATGGCCCAGACCAGCCGGACCTCATGAGATCCTGGAAGCAAAGCTGGATCCACCCGGGTCAGGACTTACCTGTTTTATTTATTTTTCCAATTTTTATTCCCCCCTCCCCAAAGCGGGGCTCAGGGCGGATCACGACAAGCAGGGTCGACGACGCGTTACGATAAAATTGCGCTACATTAAAATCATGAACACAAGAACATTCAGAGGTAGCGGCAAATGACGTAAAAAGAGAAAGGCCACCAGGGAAGGCCGGGGCCCCCACGCGGAGGTGGGCAGTGGATGAAACCACCTCTGCTCATCTCCTGCCTTGGAAACCCTATGGGGTCAGCGGACGTCAGCTGCGACCTTCCACCAGTAGGGTGTAGGTACACACCTCCCAGGACGCCTGCTGAGGGTCTGGTATTGCAGCAGCTTCCGCCACGCTGGAGGGACTCCAGAGCAGACAGCGACTATCCCTGGCCTCCTCAACAGCGACAGGACCATAGTTCCCTCTAAGCTGAGTTAGTGTGAGCTAGCTCACAGTTTTTTAGCTTCCAGCTCACACATTTTTGCCTTCGCTCAGGAAGGAGGGCTCCAGAGCAAACTCATTGATGCAGCAGCCAAATCGCTCACTCACAACTTTAATGCCAGTAGCTCACAAAGTAGAATTTTTGCTCACAAGACTCCACAGCGTAGAGGGAGCATTGGACAGAAGCACAGAAGTGCCTTCGCTGCTGTCTGATCAAGTAGTAAAGGGTAAAAGTTTCCCCTGCTTGAAAGCCAGGCAAATCCGACTCTAGGGGGCAGTGCTCATCTCGATTTCCAAGCCGAAGAGCCAGCGCTGTCCGAAGACGTATCCGTGGTCATGTGGCCGGCCTGACTAAACACCAAGGCACACGGAACGCCGTTACCTTCCCACTGAAGTGGTACCTATTTATCTACTTGCAATTTCTTGCTTTCGAACTGCTAGGCTGGCAGGAGCTGGGGCCAGAGATGGGAGCGTCACGCGGCACTCGGGTCTCGAACGGCCGAGCTACAGTCCTTCTGGTCTGCAGCTCAGCGTCTTAACCACTTTATCCACCGCAGCCCCTCTGATCAAGTAGGCAGGGCTCGGGAAGAAGAGCCCGGGCACTGACCTGGCTGGGCACAGCTCCTCGCTGCAGCTCCTCCGCTTGTCATCGGGCCGGCTCAGCACGTCACAGAACTGCTCCTCCACCACGCCGGCCACCTTCTCCACGCAGTGCACCGTCTGCCGCTGAACACCTGCGGGCAGAAGGAGAGGGTGAGCGGCCAGGCGCCCCTCTGGGCCGGCAAGCACGCCCAGGACCACGGGAGCTCGGCTTGTGTTCAGAGAACTCATGGTGGGCTCCAAAGCTGAAACAAAACGGAACGTTTGCTTTTCACAGCTCATTTGTTGCGACAGAGGTCACTGGCAGGGCCCCCAACCTAAGAACTGTCTGCTAGGTCCAGAAGACACACACACACACTCACTCTCACTCTCTCTCTCTCTCTCTCTCGATGGGCTGATGTAGCTGGTGTGCAGCCAGTTTGGTGCAGTGGTTAGGACTCTAATCTGGGAGAACCGGGTTTGATTCCCCGCTCCTCCACATGCAGCTGCTGGTGTGACCTTGGCTCAAAGTACTTTCAGAGCTGTTCTCTCAAGGGCAGTCCTCAAAGGAGCTCTCTCAGCCCCGCCTATCTCACAGCGGGTGCCTGTTGTGGGGAGGGGAAGGGAAAGGAGTTTGTAAGCCACTCTGAGACTCCCTTGGGTAGTGAAGGGCGGGGGATAAATCCTATCTCTCTTCTTCCTCTTCCTCTTCCTCTTCCTCTTCCTCTTCCACACACAGACACACACACAGGGCTGCTGCAGCAGTGGACTGCGCTCCCACAGGGACTTGTGGAGGCAACTGGGGGGGGGCTCTCTTCCCCCCCACACACACAGCTTTGCATGCCTGCAGCCCTCCCCAGAGAGGCCAAGCGGGGCACCTGCCCATCGCTTGGGGGCCGGGTGGGACACAAAGCCTGGAATGCTGTAATTAAGTCAGCAGAAAATGGTGGTGGGGTGTGTGTGTGCGCGAGGTCAGCAAATGTCAGGTTTAAGCTGCACATGCCAAGACGCCCCCCCCCCAAAGTAGCCCACAGAGACCTCTTTGTCTCCCCTTCCTCCTTGGGAAGGTAATTCTGCAGCAGCGCTCAGCACTCCCCCCCCCCCACCCCCATGTTTAAATTATCCCAGGGAAGGGCTAGGCTAAAAATAGCCCTCACTCTCCCGAAGGGGGAGAAATTCCCTTCCAAACAAAAGCTCTTTTTAGGAAGGCCAACTGGCCCAGTTGCCAAGGTGGGGGTTTTACCCTCCAGTTGCCTTAACCCCCCGAGCTCCACCAAGCCCCTAAATCGTAGATCTTGGCCTTTTGGGATCCTTGCTTGAACTGATTTTTTTTAAACAAACAAAGACTGCAATTTCTTAATCTTGTGTCTGCATTTTATCTGCAGGGCCCGCTGCTCAGAATAATTTGCCCGTGGTTAAGGGGACGCTGGGCGGACCAGCCGAGCCCCCCACAATGCCGCCGATTGTCTGTGGGAACAAGGGCTCCGTTGTGGCTGAGACAGGAGACTCGGTCTGGGGAGCTGCAGTCAGATGGATGAAAGGCCACCGGGCAGGAAAATGGGCCTGCAAACCTATCTCCCTCTCTTTGGCGGAAAGTCAAGGCTCTGAAAGAAGACCAGCCCATCCAGAGAGATTCCGGGGGTGGGGGCTGTGCTACAAGAGGGGGGCGGGACGCCTTGTGTCCTCAAAGGCAGTAGGAAAAGAGGAAGACCGAAACGTGAGATGGACTGGCCCAGCCAAGGAAGCCACAAGGGCCCTCCGTCTGCCAAGACCTCAGAAAGGCTGCTAACCAGTGTTCCCTCTAAGCTGAGTTAGTGTGAGCTAGCTGACAGTTTTTTAGCTTCCGGCTCACACATTTCTGCCTTAGCTCGGGAAGGGAGGGCTCCAGAGCAAACTCACTGATGCAGGAGCCAAATCGCTCGCTCACGACTTTCATGCCAGCAGCTCGCAAGGTAGAATTCTTGCTCACAAGACTCCACAGCTTAGAGGGAGCACTGCTGCTAACATTAGGGCGTTTTTGGAGAACATTCACTCATAGGTTCAGCTGGGTAGCCGTGCTGGTCTGAAGCAGTCTGTACCGGAAGCGATGTTGTTGTTGTTTAGTCGCACAGTCGAGTCCGACTCTTCGCGACCCCACGGACAAGATCTCGCCAGGCCCTCCTGTTTTCCGCCGTCCTCTGAAGTTTGCTCAATTTCATGTTCGTTGCTACCTTGGATCAAACTTTGTTGGCCTTCAAGGTGCCTGACTGGACTCCAGCTTGGTTCCGTTAATTCACAGGGTCCCCATAAGTGACTCGACAGCACACAGCCAGCACAGATGCATGTACTCAGCACGATTTCACAAAACCACGGCCCTCGCGATAGTGGAACAAAGCGTCTGTGGAAGCTGCGTGGACACGAACTGTGCATTTCTGCAGGTCCTGCACAAACCGTTCTCCTTGCTCTAACCCTCCCCCCTCCACGGCCACACTTTCCTATCTCACACCAGAAGGCGTTAGAAAAGAGGGAATCGCTCCGTTGCATGACTGCACCTTTCCCCTTACAACCCTGCAACAAAAGGCCAGGTATTTGTCTTTAAAAAAGGAAACCGGGAGTGTGGAGGATCCAGTAAACAGATCATTATAACACTGTGGAAACTGAGAAATCTCCACCCCCACCCCCTTTTTTTTAAAGCCCTCAGGCGGATGGGGTGGAAACGGTGGCTGTGGAGAGCTGAAGTGGGAAAGTGTGGAGAGGAGGAGAGAGAGATTGGATTTACACCCCATGGCCCTTCACTACCCAAAGGAGTCTCAGGTAAAAGGTAAAGGTTCCCCTTCCTCGAAAGCCAGTCGAGTCCGACTCTAGGGTTGCGGTGCTCATCTCCGTTTCAAAGCTGAAGAGCCAGCGCTGTCCGAAGACGTTTCCGTGGTCATGTGGCCGGCATGACTAAACACCAAGGCGCACGGAACGCTGTTACCTTCCCACCGAAGTGGTCCCTATTTATCTACTTGCAATTTCTTGCTTTTGAACTGCTAGGTTGGCAGGAGCTGGAACCAGAGACGGGAGCTCACTCCGTCATGCGGCACACTCGGGTCTCGAACTGCTGAACTACTGACCTTCCACAGCCTGCAGTTCAGCGTCTTAACCACTTGAGCCACCGCAGCTCAATTTCCAAAGACACCAGTGTAAATAGCCCAATAGGTAAAGGGTAAAGGCTTCCCTTGCTCGACAGCCAGTCAAATCCGACTCTAGGGTCGCGGTGCTCATCTCCGTTTCCAAGCCAAAGAGCCAGCGCTGTCCAAAGACGTTTCCGTGGTCACGTGGCCGGCGTGACTAGAAGCCGAGGCGCACAGAACGCTGTTACCAGAACTAGAGACGGGAGCTCACTCCGTCATGCGGCACCCCTGGGTCTCGAACTGCTGAACTACCGACCTTCCACAGCCTGCAGTTCAGCGTCTTAACCACTTGAGCCACCGCAGCTCCTGGAGTCTCAGAGAGGCTTACAAACTCCTTTCCCGTTACCCTCCCCACAACAGACAGACACACCCTGTGAGGTAGGTGGGGCTGAGAGAGTTCTGACAGGAACTGCCCTTGAGAGAACAGCTCTTGTCAGGACTATGGCTTGCCCAAGGTCATCCAGCAGCTGCGAGTGGAGGAGTGGGGAATCAAACCCGGTTCTCCCAGATTAGAGTCCACACACTTAACCTCTACACCAAACTGCTGCCTGGACGCTGGGCTGCCATGGTGGATGCCTTTGCCCTCCCAGCAGGGACTAGAGCTGTGCAGAGATTCGTCTCCATGTGGACGCAGCCCCAGACATTCTCCAGAAACTCTCCTAGCAGCCCTCTCCTGTAACCCCAGGGGGAACTGCTCTGTTATTTACCAAGACTGCTGCTCCAATGCATTAAAAAGCCCGCACAATTTCCTTGAGCTGCTTCTTTCCCTACAGTACTGCTCTGCAAGAGAACACTTTGCCCCAGGAGTCCTGGCAAAAGCCTCTCTCCTCCCTTCCTCCCTCCCAGATGGCCAAACGTTTTCCTGGAAGAAAAAGGTAAAAAACGGCCAGGGGCCGGTGCAGATGAATGGGAAATGCTCACACCTCCAGCCAAGAGGCTGGATTGCCCTGCATGCCTGCTCGATCATTCTCTCTCGGCAGCCTCCTGGCCCGTATCTGACAAGCATTCTGGGAGGACACCAAGAAGTCGCAGCTTGGCAAACCTTCTCTCCCCCCACGTTGTTAATGGACAAATCATCTGATAACTTCCCACCCACCCACCCCCGTCCTCCGTAATCATGAAACCAGAGTGAGACGATGTCGCCGTCTGCTCTTGGGTATGAGACCGACCTCTTTTCCCTTCCCTTTGCCAGCATGTTAAAAAAAGGCCTCTTTGGAGAGCTGCAGATTAACTGCCCGCGTTGCTGGTAAGCCAGCACTGGCCTCCACATTGGGCCCCCTGCCTGGTCAACAGAGTGGCACTGTCTGCCCCCCAGGCCTAGTGACTGTGGCAGGCCGCTGCCTGCTCTGAGACGGCTTACCAGGAAGCTCCAACCTATACCCCCCCCAAAAAAACAAGCTGCGCAAAATGGCTGAAGAGGGGAGCCCCCCCCCCCCCCCAGTCAAAGAAACATCCAACCACCCATCCTTCCAGTCTGAGGTTCAACATGCTCAAAGCAGGGATAATGCCAGTTTGGTGTAGTGGTTAAGAGCGCGGGCTCTAATCTGGGAGAGCCGGGTTTGATTCCCCCACTCCTCCACCTGCAGCTGCTGGTGTGACCTGGGGCCAGTCACAAGTTCTTTCAGAGCTGTTCTCTCAAGGGCAGTTTCTTTCAGAGCTCCCCGCCTACCTCCCAGAGCACCCCGCCTACCTCCCAGGGTGTCTGTTGTTGGGAGGGGAAAGGAAAGGAGATTGTAAAGTGCTCTGAGACTCCGAGTGAAGGGCGGGGTATAAATCCAATTAAGCCAGTTTGGTGTAGTGGTAAAGTGTGTGGGCTCTAATCTGGGAGAACCGGGTTTGATTCCCCACTCCTCCACGCTCTCAGCCCCACCTAGGGGGTGTCTGTTGTGGGGAGGGGAAGGGAAGGGAAAGGAAGAAGAAGAGATTGGATTTATACCCCGCCCTTCACAACCCAAAGGTGTCTCAGAGCGGCTTCCAAACTCCTTTCCCTTCCCCTCCCC